TATGCCTAATGAAGAAAATCCGAGAAGAAGTAAACGTCAAAGGACATCTACTTCATTCGGTCCAGATTTTCTGACTTTTCCGTTAGAAAATGAGCCTCGTACCTTCAAGGAAGCAATGTCTTCCTCAGAGGCACAATATTGGAAAGAAGCTGTCAATAGTGAAATAGAATCCATATTGAGCAACCATACTTGGGAATTGGTTGATCTTCCTCCAGGTAACAAAATGTTGGGTTCTAAATAGATTTTCAAGAAGAAAATGAAAGACGATGGTACTATTGACAAATACAAGGCAAGACTTGTTGTCAAAGGATTTAGACAACGAGAAGGTCTTGACTATTTTGACACATACTCGCCGGTAACAAGAATTACATCCATTCGGATGCTAATAGCGTTAGCCGCCTTGTATGGTCTTCAAATCCATCAAATGGATGTAAAAACAGCCTTCTTAAATGGTGATCTTGAGGAAGAAATTTACATGAACCAACCTGAAGGGTTTGTGGTTCCAGGAAAAGAAAAGAAGGTGTATAGACTTGTTAAGTCTCTTTATGGACTAAAACAAGCACCCAAACAATGGCATGCGAAATTTGACCAAACAATGTTGTCAAATGGTTTTAAGATTAATGAATGTGATAAATGTGTTTACATTAAGAACGTTCCAAATCATATAGTCATTGCTTATATGTTGATGATATGTCTAATAATGAGCAAAGACATTGCCGACATTCAAGCTACTAAGCGCATGCTTGCTAGTAAGTTTGATATGAAAAGACTTTAGGAGTTGCGATGAATTCTAGGAATTAAAATCAAAGATAGAGACTCCTCAGGGTAAGCTTTGTCTCAATCACATTACGTGAAAATGGTACTTGAAAAAATTCAAACATTTGGAATTTTAGAAGTGCAAGAACTCCAATTGGACCTTAAATCATTCATCTTATAAAGAAATTCAAAAGTGAAAGTACGTCTCAATATGGAGTATGCTCGTGTTGGGAAGCTTAATGTACATCATGAAACTGTACACGACCTAGATATAGCTTGTGCGATAAGTAAACTTAGTCGATTCACAAGTAATCCCAACAAAACATCACTTAAAGCGGGTAGCAATGAAACAGAGTTCTGGGATATTTGGCAATATTACCCAAGACTACGCTTTGCACTACAATAAATATCCTGCGGTTATCGAAGGATTAATTGTGATGCCAAATTTGGATAACCGGGCACTCAACAGAGAACAAAGTGCCACAAGTGATATGTTTTACTGTTGGGTGGGAAGCAGTATCTGGAAGTCTTCCAAACAAACGTGTCATTGCTCGCTCTACAATGGAATCAGAAGTTTATTAGCTTTGGATAAAGCCAGCG